CATCCATTCATCCATCCATCCATCCATCCATCCACTTACTCATCCATTCATCCATCCATGCATCCATCCATCCATCCATCCATCCATCCATCCATCCATCCACCCTTTCTTCCTCTTCTACGTGCCTCCAGTATGTTTCAAGCGCTGCAGGGTGGGGAGTCAGAGATGAGCCGAGCACTGCCTCCCAGTGAGGAACTCCTGTGAGGAATGAATGATGAAAACCAAGGTCAGGAGCATAATGGCACCTGGTGGAAGCTGAGGACAGGGCTAGTTTATTCATTCAACAAACACCATCCTTGGCCCCAGAGGTTATAGCAGATCCGTATCCTCCTCGCCAGAGCCCCTGATCCTACCAGGGCTGTTTGGATTCAACCTTAAATAAAATTTAAGACAAAAGCTTGGGGGAGGAACCGCCGTCAGTAAGGGGAGGAAAGTCTAAGAGGAATGGTGTTTAAATTGGGCCTTGAAGACCCAGTGGAATTCGGACTTAGTGAGATGAGGAGATGGGATAAATAAGTGGTCACGGGGATTTCCCAGGGCTCTGTGGGGATGTGGGCGGGGGAGGTTATTGTTGGGGTTAGACGAGTTTTACAGGGAAAACACCTCAGCTAAAGACTCCTAAAGGCATAATATCAATTTACAAGGTGTTCTCAGCCCCAGGTCCCCCCCCCCCCCCCCCCCACTTCTGCCATGTTCTGTGGCGGCAGAAAGAACAGTTACTTCTGATTTTGGAGTCAGATAAGTCTTAGTCTCTCTCTCTCTGAAAAATGGAGATAGTACCTCGCAGGGGTGTTGTGAGCTGAGAGGCAGCTTATGAGCAGTGCCTGGTGTCTGGGTGGGGGTGGGGGGACCCAGTAAATGAGAGGTCTTCTTAGTGTGACCCTCTTTCTCACGGGGACTCCTCCTCACACAGAGGATGACAGTGGGCAGATCGGCTTCGCTTTACGGAAGTTAAGGTACGAGCTCCTTAGGAGAAAACAGCAGCGCTGTGAGATGTGGTTTGAGGGTGGCGGCGGCGGCGGCAAGCCCATTGCCTGCAGAGGTGGAAGCGATCCGATCACACTCTGCGGGGGAAATCGGAGCTGGCGGGCGGGCTGCGGGCTGGGTGATAGCCGAGTGGAGCGGATGGGGTTTCAGCAGGTGAGGAAGGAGGGAAGGGGGAAGGGACGAAGGCTCCTTAAGAGTCTAGCAGGAGCCACGCACTGTGCTGAGCACCTGGCATGCATTTTTGCCCCTGACCCTCCCTCCCCGCCTGCAAGGATTTCCTCCCCGCTTTGCAGATGAAGGAACTGAGACACAGAGAGAGGGGGCAAGTGACTTGCCCAGGGTCACACGAGGTAACAGGTACCAGGCTCCAATTCGGGCCTGTCTGACTCTCCATCCAGCCCACTGCACGGGCTGTGTTGGGGGCCGGGGGGGCGGGGTGGGGGGGAGCCACGTGGATGGCAAGCAGCATGTGGCCTGAGACAGCCAGTGAGGGGGGCAGGGCCAGACCACCCCTGGCCTCAGCTGAGGCTTTGTCCTGAGGGGCATGGGAGGGACAGGGTCAGTCCTGTGTGTAGAAGGACCCTGGGGGTCAGGGGGGGCAGACTAGAGAGGAGAGGAGAGACTGAGGAAAGGAAGAGACTGCAGCGGTGGTGATGGGGCCGCGGGGACAGTCAGGGGGCGGGGAGAGAGTCAGGGGCTGGAGAGAGAGGGCTTAGGGCAGTGATGGCGAACCTATGACACCCGTGTCAGAGGCGACACGCGAACTCATTTTTTTACTATGGTTGCAAATATCAAAAAATTTCTATATGTGACACGGCACCAGAGTTAAGTTAGGGTTTTTCAAAATGCTGACACGCCGAGCTCAAAAGGTTCGCATCACTGGCTTAGGGACTGAGGAGTTTTGTAATATGAAGGAAAGGGAGGGACCAGGACAGCACCTGGGGGTCTGCCTCGTTGACTGGGTGGACAGAGGACTGAGGAGTTTTGTAATATGCAGGAAAGGGAGGGACCAGGACGGCACCTGGGGGTCTGCCTCGTTGACTGGGTGGACAGAGGCGCTGTCCCTGAGATGGGGGACCCAGGGGTACCTCTGTTTTGAGGAAACAGCCTGAACTCAGGATGGGACATGGTGAGCAGGCAGGGCCTGGGGCAGGGCCAGCTGCTACAAGTTAAGGCCGAATATAATGCAAGATTATCCATCTATTTTTTTCTCCCCTGGAAACTGTGAGGAAAGGAGGGGAGATTCAGATTTACAAAATCCTGCTCTGAATGGGCTTCTGGGATTTGAAAAGAAACATCAAGTTGTGCTTTCTCCACTCTCAGCCTCAGTGGTTACACTGGTCAAGCTGCAGCGTCCTCCCAGTTGGGAACGTCTTCCCGCGGTTATTATTGACACCGTAGCGTTCCCATTCTATAGACGAGGAAACAGCCTCCGGGGCCAGCGGCTGCCTGAAGTCCTGCAGCGGGTGTCGGTGGAGCCGGGATCGGAGCAGCCTCAGGGCGCACTGCCCATCCCCTCTCCGCCAGACCACCTCGCCCTGCCACACCAACTGTTGGGACAGCCACGAGGACGCGAAGGCCCTTCCTTTGCTTTGGCGATAGATGCGGAGCAAGTGGGCCCAGAAGGGAAAAGTACCTCCCTGGCCAGGTGCCCGGAGGCCCAGCAGTGTCTAGACACGCGGCTTCACTTCATGCACGCCCTCCAGGCTTCCGACGATTCAGGCCCCTGTTGCGTGCACTCATTCAGTGGTTGGATCCAAGTTTTTTTTTTTTTTTAATATATTTTATTGATTTTTTACAGAGAGGAAGGGAGAGGGATACACACCCCCCACTGGGGATGTGCCCGCAACCAAGGTACATGCCCCTGACCGGAATCGAACCTGGGACCTTTCAGTCCACAGGCCGACGCTCTATCCACTGAGCCAAACCGGTTAGGACTGGATCCAAGTTTTAAAGGCCTCTTGATCGTCCTTGCTCTTCTTTTTTTTTAATACACTTTATTGATTTTCTACAGAGAGGTCCTTGCTCTTTTTTTTTAATACACTTTATTGATTTTCTACAGAGAGGAAGGAAGAGGGATAGAGAGCTAGAAACATCCATGAGAGAGAAGAATGGATCAGCTGCCTCCTGCACGCCCCCCACTGGGGATGTGCCCGCAACCAAGGTACATGCCCCTGACCGGAATCGAACCTGGGACCTTTCAGTC